TTCAGCTCCAGAAAGAACCTTCTTGTGAGCAGGGCCTTCTAACAGGCACATGGGCTGGCTCTTGAGGTAGTGAGCTCCCAAGGGCTGGAGGTATGCAAGCAAAGGCTAGAATAGAGTCAAGCCCGGATAGGTAGCTGGGTTAGATGTCATCTAGGATGGATGGTTAAATGATACTAATCGCATGCCTACTCATACCAGCGTATCAGGCCAGGCATCCCCCAGAGAGAAACAGGGTAAACCCATTTGTTCATGGAACACAGGGAAGAAAAGAAAGAGAGAAAAAAGGGAGGAAGGAAGGAAATACGGAGGGAGGGAGGGAAGGAAGGAAGAAGGAAGGAAGGGAAGGAAGAAAGGACAGAAAGGCCAGGCCAATTACATGCTAAGCAGGGATCTAATCCCTTTGTAAACACTGTCAGAAATTTGTCTTCCTAATTGAAAAGCCCATGTGAGCTGCTTAATCCAGTCCATGTTAATGAGACCAAAACACATTAGAGCAGATATTGACTCCAGTTGTCATAGTGCCAGAGCTGGGGACACCAGGGGGAATGCATTGACAAAAGTGAGGCTGGGGTCAGTCTTGGTCTCCATGGACATCGTTGTGTCATTCCATTGCCCTAACCATCCGGCGGGAAAACTCCATCATGCAAAGGGCTGCAGGATTTTCATGATGGATAATGCTCCTCCATTACCTGGATGGCCGTCCTCCTTAAGTGGAAGAAAGTGGCCTTAAAAATAAAGGCCTCGAGAATATCAGGGCTAAAAATAATAATACTCTTTCTGCCACCTTCTAAATTCTTTTAGCTGGTTTAATAATCAAATAAGCCACACAGATTAACAGGGGGGAAAAACCAACATTTAATAAATGCACATGAGGAATTCACATAAGCATGAAAATTCCGAAGACAGTGAGGCAAAATTGGGTGTATATGTCATTTTGGACAAAAGAGAAAGGCGGGAAATGAGATCTTAGATTTCCAAAGTGAGTGTGGTTGATTGACAACTAATTGAGGAAGAGTGGAACACACATGGCAAGTAAAGTTTTGCTAAGACGCCCAGAATTGAGACAAGCTCCTGCTTGGAGTCTTCCTGCCTAATGCGAAGGCAATTATGTTCCGGTCCATTCTAAAGCGGATTTTTCCCTCTGAATCTCCTTATGCAAAAAAGCATTGAGGGGAGGTTCTTTCTGAGTCTTTTGTTTCTAATAATCAACTTAAAATCAATATCCCAAAGGCACAAGTTTGGGGGTGGCAGAACTTTGGTTGCCTTCAATGAAAACATTCATTCAAATAAGTACAGCAAAGTACAAATCTGTTCATGCCTCCCCCTCCTCCCCCTTTTCTCCCGTTTAATGACTTCAAAGAAATCGTTCCCAATCTAAAATGGGCCATTTGGGAGGCTTGGGGTGGGGGATGAGGCTATGTCAACCAGTTCTCACCTCCTGCTTGTGACATTTAACCCCTCCTATGAAAGGTTAATGCTCTCATCATAGGCCTTGCTCTTAGCAAAAAGTCTCTCATCGTATTTTCTATTAATCAGTGAGGCATTAACATGCTGTAACCATGGGCCTAGACCTTGGAGTCACACAGACCTTGTTCTGGCTTTGCCAGCCCTATTTGGGTCTCAGGACCACTGTGCATCAGTTTCCCTGCCCCAGCGTCACCCTCCCAAGCCATCCCCCACACAGTCAACCAGAATGTTCTTTCTAATGGACAGTTCTGATCCTCTCTTATTCCTGCTTAAAAACTCTCCATGCTCCTCATCGCCTGTAGATAAAACCTGAAATCATTAGATTCGTCATTTTTCTAGCATCAGCTCCTATCATCACAGCCCTAGCCCACTGCCTCGCTCACAGTGAGATGTGGCCTAACTCACAGAGCTGGACTCAAACCACAATATCTAGGCCAATGTACTTGACATTTGGTAAAACACATAGTCATCTGGTTTGAAGAATTAAAAAAATAATAAATAGAATACTAGCCTCATTGCATCCCACAACATTTCTCAGTTTATGAACCTTTTCATGTAGCTTTCTCATTTAACCTTACGCAAGTCTATGAGATGGTTATTCTATAGGTGAGGAACCGGAGGTTTGGCAGAGGTGGCTCAGAGGCACTGGGCAGAGCTGAAACCCAAAGATAGGAACCAACTTACCTGAGCACATCTTGCAGTCTCGGCCAACAGCTTCCGGGATCCCAGCCATTAATTCTCAGACCTTACAGAAGAGGAAACTGAGGTGTGTGTGTGGGTGGGGGTGTGTGTCAAGTGAACCCCCCTACACCTCATCACAAAGCTGCTGAGTGTTGGGGCTGGAGAGACCCTAATCCATCTACCTCAGTGTCCAGTTCTCTCTCTCCCACATTCCAGCTGCCCTTCTGAGGCAGCTATAAAGAGGTCAAGTTAAAGCTACCCTCTGACCTTGGCAGTCATTCTTTGTTGGGTCCCAGGAACAGGGTCTTCTGGGTCATTGTTTAAAATGTGATGAGAAGTGGGCATTTAACCAGACAACAGCTGTCGTGTGAATTGAGTGACTCAATTGTCCTTGAGAAATGTGGGTCCTCTGGGAGCGACTCCCAGCACTTTCTGTCCCCTGATCCGAGGTGACTAATGGGAAATCCATGTCCAACCCGAAACCTGGTGGCAAAGAGAATCGCCTTACACCCTGAAGCAGCCACTAAATTTTAGCTCTAGTAAAGTTGAGGGCTTGCTGAAAGCAGACGAATGTTTCACAGTTGTGTTTCACCGACTGCTTGAAATCCTAGGACAACACAGCAAGAAGGCACCCTCCCATATTTGCCCATATTTGTTCGTTCGTTCATTCATTCATTCCACAAACATTTCTTGAAAATGGTGCCAGGGGTTCCACGTGTGTGTGAGACGCGGCCTTCACCCTCAGGAGCTTCAGTCTATTGGGGAGATAAACTAGTAAACATATAAGTAAGGGGCTTTCTTAGCCAACTCCTGCCTTTCCCACATGAAGGAGCGGAGGCCCAGAGAGTGTGTGTGTGTGTGGGGGGGGGGAGGGGGCTCCTCTGCTTTCAAAGAAGAGATTTGCACAATTTTGCATTTGAGCCAGAGACCTCACAATGGCATTTTTTCGGGAGGCTGGAGGGGTTGAAATTTCTGTTTTCCCCAAGGCAAGCTGTAAGAGCATTCCTTTGACAAGAGAGTAAAACATCTGTGTTTACAAGAGAGATAAGCAGGAGTCTGGCAGCTGTGGGCCTCTGAGGCTGCCTTATGAAGGTGTTGCCTCAAAAGACACAGTTTGAGGTGAAGATATCCAGAGGGGACAGCCTGGAGCCTGGCCCAGAGTGCAGTGTGGGTGTCTTCCTTCTGGTCTCCCATCTTGGTGGGGGGTGAGGGGGCAGCCAACCCTGTGCAGGATCAGGCATGGACTTGCTGCCTACTGAGTGGTTGTTTAATGGGTGGATTTCATCTTAGTATTTCTGTTCTGTTCCACCCAACACTCAGCATACAGAGAGATCAGAACATTTCATAATCCCGCCATTTCCCATCTCCTAGATCACATTAAGTTCATAGTTAAGGCCCTTCACTATGGCCCACCTCACCAGCCTCGTCTCTCCTCCTCAAACTCTCAGGCATTCCATGCTGAGCCCAGATCAAAGTTCTTATTCTCAAACACACGTCCCTTCTTTCCTTCTGGCATTTGCTCATGCTGTTCCCTCTGGTTGGCATGCCCTTCCCTACCCTTTGCTGCCTGTCCTTTAAGACTCTTCCTCTTCCCTGCCCAGGAAGATAAAATTGGCGCCTTCTCTCTGAGAAACCTTTGAGGCCAGCACTTATCATGGTGGGATGATAGGGGAGAGGGAGGAGGAGAAAAAATCTCTCTCGCTTGAGTGTGTTTCCCTTTTCCACAACAGTTGCAAGTGCTTTCAGATAAAACCAATAGCGAGCAGTGCAGACAGACCTCATACACATGGCCCATCGGCAGTGGGGTTGGAGGTGCAGTCCCAGCAGTGGGCACAGGACACAATCCCATCAGCCAGAGAACCTGCCTGGCTCTCCCTCTCACCATCCCTCGCTCAGTGGTTAGCGTGTTAGCTCATGCACGGAAGGGTGTTGGGTTCGAGTCTCCGTCAAGGGCACACATCTAGGTTGCAGGGTTGATCCCTAGCTCATCAGGCATGTACGGGAGGCAACCAATTGATGTGTCTCTCTCATATCAACGCTTCCCCCTCTCTTTCTCTCCTCTCTCTCTCCTCTGTTGGTGCAACCCTCCTCTTCCACAGGGGCTGACCTGGAGTCAAGGCTTAGCGCTATGGCTCTGTCACTGGGTGGCCTTTGGAGAAACCCTGCACTCTCAGAGCCTCAGTTTCCCCATCTGTAAAACAGGACAGACGAGTCTACCCATTCATGCAGGAAGAAGTGTTTTGTAGAAGGAACCCAGCAGAAGGCTCTGGGTACCGGTGGCATCTGAGTTGTGTACCTCTGGGCAGCCCCAACATGTTACTTGGAGGAGTCAGGGTAATCCCACTGAAGAGGTGCCAGTGGAGCTCCTCCCCAGGCCTGGAGGGCTGCAGGCTGCTGGAGGCAGGTCCCTATACCACTGTACACAGAAGCCAGACACCTCACACTGACAACAGGAAGGTCAGAGTTGGGGGGTCGGGCTGGGGCTCCACCAACAGGCGAGGAAGGCTGGACAGGTGGGCCCATTCCCAGTCCTCTGGGTGGTCACCTGTGAACGGGGGACAAAAGGAGGGACAGAGGGGTGAGAGCATCTGGGATCTAGGCCTGACTCTAGCCCAGTTTACTGTGTGCTTTTGGGCAAGTTTCTTCCCATCTCTGGGCCTCAGTTTTCTCTCTTATTAAACAAGAACTAAGTGGTCTCTGAGTCCCCCTCTAGCCCTGAAATTCTGTGGGTCAACAAGAAATCTCCCCTCGTCAGCATTCTGCTCCTGCACACGCCCACAGCAAGAAGCCAAAGCAGCCTGTTCTCCATTCATTTGGAAACGAATTCCCTGAATCCATCTCTCCTTCCCTAGGTGCTTGCTCTTGCCGGTCCAGCTCTGCACACCAGAGCCACGCGTTTCAGATATCTCAGCATGGGATACAGTTTCTCATCAGGCGACGGAAATGTTCTCCCAAACCACCAAACGGAGCGGTCTGCGACATGGAGCTGAAAATAAAGCAGCAGAAAGACAGGGGTGTTGTTGTGAAGAAATGGTCAGGCACGACCTGGAAGGCAGAGATGACAATGGAATGCCAGGTCTTGGCCACAAGGTGAGTCCAAGGGAGGCAAGGACTGTGTATCCTGAAACTGGTCCTCCTCATAACAGCTTCAGGAGGTAGGTGCCGTTTCCCCCGTTTTAGAGGAGAGGCTCAGAGAGGTGAAGTCCTCTGCCCAGGGTCACACAGCCAGTAGCTGAATCAGGTTTTAACATGTAGTCTGCCTGACTTTTCACGGTGCTACATGACC